CCCCCACCCCGTCGACAAGGCTGCCGCCATCATCACAGCTGTGCCCGTCCCAATCTGCACAAGCCCCCCCCAGCTCACCCCCTGTCCCGCTGGAGTTTTTGATGGCAGTGCGCACGTCCTCATCCCCCAGATCGCGCGTGGGGTCCAGCGCCCGCAGCTGCCGCCCGTAGACCTCCAAAAACAGGTGCCTTTTGGGGGGTTGAGGTTCGCGGTTGGGGTGGGGCGAGGGGCAGTGAAACTGCCATGCAGCTCTCCCGCCACCCCTCCTCAATACTTCCTGCTTGGTGCCTGCGACTACGACGCTCCTCGCCATCCTCAGAAAGCTCCCCTCCTTTTCCCACTAAGCCCCCGCTTACAAGCCCCCCCACTTACATGGGCCCCCGCTTATAAGTGCCGCGCATACAAGCACCCCACCTGATGCGTGCCCCCCCGTGCAGCTCGCTGAGGCTCATGTCCTCGCAGCGCCCCTCCAGCAGCGCGTTGTAGCGGTCGGCGTACGCACACAGCAGCTGCAGCAGAGCGGCGGACCTGAGGAGTGCGTGTGTGAGTGTGCGTGCGTGTGCAAACGTGAGTGTGCGTGTATGAGCACGGGTGTGCGTGTGGGAGCGAGCGCTCATGCGAGCGAGCGGCCTTGCGTGTGTGCGTGTGCTCGTGTAGGGGTGTTCCTGTGTGTGCTTGAGTGCGGTGGGGAGGAACAGGGTCACGATAAAATTGCTTTGGCAAGGCTGCACGAGACGCGAGGGGGGAGCAATGGCCTGGCTGCAACGACAAACGGGCACGCAGATCGCGGCCGGATCGCGGCGGCGAACTGCAGATCAGATCAGATCGTGCGACGCGATCGCGCGCCCACCTGGCGGAGTCTGACCCCAGGTCCAGCTCGTTCCCGTAGCCCGCCAGCTCAGCGCCCCTGGCCTCCAGTGCCTCGGCTATCTGTATGTTGAGGTGGGCAAACGGCGGTCGGGCAGCCGTCAGCTTTGAGGTCCGTTGAGGGGGCGGCAGGCCGCCAACAGCAGCATCAGGGGATGCGCAGGATGGAGCACGCAAGAACAGGAAAGACTGTCACCAGCCCGAAAGACTGTCCCCGGCCTCACGACCGGCTCCGCTGTCACAGCAGGCCGCCGCGGGGGCTCTCAGCAAGAGGCCGGCCCTGCCGGCGCTGCATCCTCCAAAGTGTTTGGTTCAGGTGTAACCAACACCTGTGCAACAGATCTCAACTTGCGGGCGCCGTCGGCCCGCGCCAGCAGCCCTTGAAGACACAAAGGCGAGCAAAACACAACAGCCCGGCACGCGCGATGCTACACACGGCCCAGATACGGACGCTTCCCCCTTCCGAAAAGCCCCCTCCCCCTCGTCCACGCGCACAAACCTGCCGCCGCAGCGCCGGCAGCAGCGCGCGGATGTGTGTCCCGAGGATCGTGTTGATCCGCCGCGCCAGGGTGCCCACGCCGCACTGACCCGCCACCTCCAGGTATTCCGTGTGGTGGTCAAACCACGCCGCCTCCGCCCTGACGCGAGGCATGACGTGGCCGTGATGGTGGGGTGGTTTCAGCTTGGGTTATTTTGAGGGTGCGGGGCTGCCGGGGCGCAGAACAGCGCGCGGCCGACGGCGAGGCGCGCGGGGAGGAACGGGGGCTTTGAATGGGGTGGCGGCGGAGCTGGGCCCGGTTCGCACAGGGATGCGTTGCGCATGTACGGGGGAGGGGCCGGGGTGTCTCGGAGCCTGCGCAAAGAACACAACACCCTGGCCTCTGTGCTGCGCGCACGAGCGCCCGCATGCGTGCCCGCACGTGCGCCCGCCCGCGGGCTAAGCATGCGTGCATGCCTGAAAACAAGCCGCCACGAGGGCAGGCGTTGGAAACACACACACCGCACGCGCGCCCACACACACACACAATCACATACGCATAGCCACACATACACACAGCCGCGCGTGTCGAAACACCAGCCGCACGACGACACACATCTTCTCCACACAACACCCCGTCATGTGTGGCAGGCTGGTGCGCCTCTGCCGTAACCCCCCCCCCTGATGTCGTCGGCCAGGCTGCAAAAAAACGAAATCAGGGCCCCAACCCTGCTTCCAAGCCACCCGTATTCCCCAACACCCGATTTGGGTTGAACCCAAAACGCCTAACCCCTACACCCAAACGAACGCTCGTCTTCCTCTTCCTCTCCTTCTCTCTCACTCTCTGTTCCCCTGTCTCCTTCAAAGTCTCTCTCTCTCTCTCTCGCGATGCCTTTATTGAACACCCACTTCCCTTCACACGCGTACGCGCCATCCGAAGCACCCAGACACCCCACCCCGACGCCCGCGCGGCCCCCCACGCGAAATTCACGGCCGCCGCCGAGGAACCCCCCACCTGCGCGCCTCCGCCATGCTGCGCCTGCTGTTGATGTCGGCCTGGCTGCGGTTGACGACCGCCACGTAGCCCAGCCTCAGGGGAACCACGCTGTTGCGCAGCACGGCCACCGCGTTGGTGCCGCGGTCCATAATGTCCAGCTTAGTCACCACGCCTGGGGTTGATAATTGTTATTTGTCGTGTGTGGCGGGGGGTCGAAAGCCAGGGCTGGCTGTCTCTCTGTCCCTCTGCCCCCACCTCACACGCACGAAAACCCGCTCATACACCCATGCTCACCCACGAACTCATCAACACCCCGATTCCCTCGCTGCCTGGTGCCCACGGGGCACCGCCCACGGCCTACTGCCGCAAGCCGGCTGCCCACCTATTGTCCTAACGCCCTCAGGGTCCACCAGCTGCGCCACCTGCAGCGCATCGCTGTTGGCCAGGTCTGTGTTGGCG